CCGCTCCAATCGATCAACTTTCTTTGCTTGTCGCGAGCCAACGATTGCGCCCTCCCCTTCATATCCTATTTAAAGAAAGAGAATTACAAGTACGTACTGCGTATCGTTGCTAAAGAAATGCCCGGCGATCTGCAAGACGTTTGTTTCGACGAACGATTGTGAATAGGTATAACATGTTGAAAAATCACGTTGTTGATTGCAGAGCTGTCGGGGTCGTAGATTGGGACGCGAGATCCAAAGTGCGCGGTGAACAGGCCGTCGAGATCTTCGAATCGAGATCAAAGTCTCCGTCGTCCGAACCACCGCTAGAACAAGAGAGACCATTGTCTAACAGAAAAGATCAGATCTTAAAGGAAGCCAACTGCTCTGCGAATTCCGACAGCGACTCACTGACGAGTTCAACCGGAAGGAGGAAGAAGAACAGCAAACACGACAAAGGGCAAGAACGATACGTCTGCTCCATCTGCAAGTTGCACTTCGACAGACGAGGAGATCACAAACGCCACATGATCAAACACAGCGATCTCCGCCCGTACAAATGCGAGATCTGCGACAAGGCGTTCAAACGTTCCTCGGAGATGTCCAACCACACGCAGATCCACCGCGGCATCGAGCACGCGTGCGAGCTGTGCGGCTTCACCACGGTCAACAAATTCTCCTTGAGGATGCACCATCGTCGAGTTCACCAGCGTGACTTTCGTTACCGTTGCGACCAGTGCGACAAGGGTTTCATGTCGAATTACGAGCTGGAGGATCACAAGGCCAGCCACCTGGACGGGAAGACGTTCGTCTGTGAGTTGTGCGGCAACGCCTACTCGCAGAAGTCCTATCTGGTGGCGCACAAACGCGTGATCCATGGTATCCAAAGGAGCGCGCCGAAGGAGTTCCAGTGCGACGTTTGCAGGAAAAGCTTCGCCACCGAGCACAATCTTCGCAGCCACGTTGGCCTGCACTCGCAGACGTTCCTGTGCGCCCAGTGCGGCAACAAGTTCGCGACCAACCACGCTCTGAAGCTTCACGCACGGAGGCACACGGGCGAGAGACCGTACGAGTGCGCGATCTGCTTGAAGGCTTTCGCCAGATCGGCGGCGCTCAGGGTGCACAAATTGACGCACACGGGCGAGAGGCCGTACGTGTGCGATCTGTGCGGGCGTAGCTTCACTCAGAGGAGCAGTATGATGGCGCATCGACGGAAACATCCCGGAAGTCATCCTCCGCCGCCTCCGTTGCTTCTTAGCCAGCTCGAGAGCCAGCACGCGTGTAGATTGTAGCGTTTCGAAGGACATCGGAGAATTCTTCAGGAGATTCGAATTATGTCATAGAAGAAGTGCGTGAAGACTCGAGATCCCGCTTTATGTTAGGCTTCGCATTGCGCTTCTAAGTTTCTTCTTTCGTCCCAGCAAAGTTAGCCTCGCAGAACCAGTTCCTGACCGTTGAAACAGAATCCAGACGACTTTTTGACGTTTTCCATTTTTCTAACGAGTTCGAGAGACGTAGGTCGAATATTGGGAGCAAACTTTAACTCCCATTCGTTCCAATTATATATTTTTCAAGTTCTCGCTATTATGCTCAAAAATTCTGAATTTCTGTTTTCAAGTCGAAGAATGCAGCGAGAAACGGTAATTCCACAGATAGGCATATTAAAGAGGAACGAAGCCAAATTGGCTAACAATCAGAATAAAAGGGTATTTTTTGCATAACAGTGATTCTTTGTAAAATACTACAAAGGTGATTCTGTTTTGACGGTGAGAGGCTATATTCTTCGTCCGTTCGACGAATGGTGAATTATTTATAATGACGATATTTTTTTCTTTTTTTACAACTGAATAAAAGCTGCTTCGCGTAAACCTGAAGTTTCACCGACGGGGATATTGCACGCCGTGCATTTTAAATATTCTTTGGCTGTTGCGCCTCTAGCGTTATTTTCTATCGTTAAGCCTCGAGTTAGAACGTGCATAGTGGCAAATATGCAGGAGATACTCGAAGCTTTCACAGGATCGTGTGAAAGAAGAACGGATGATTCGAGAAATCCGCTTTGCTAGCGATAAATGTTCGAATTTAATTATTAATAAGACTTGAATGTGTACATGAAGTGATATGTACTTAAGCGTTGTAAACAGTTGGTGTAAAGTACAGTGGATAGCGGAATGGTCACGGAGGAAGCAGCGCAAATGGCAAAGTATAAATCATTCGGGTACGAAGTCGAGTCGCCTTATAAATTTGTGAATGTCGATTGTGAAAATATAACGAGCGAACGGAATGAGAGAGAGAGAGAGAGAGAGAGAGAAAGCGAGTGAAATGGAAGCGAGTTCAATGAAACTCGATTGTTTTAGAAGCTGTGAAAATTTTACCGATGTAAGTAGAGACACTGACTGTAAATTCACGATTAACTTGATGACCGAATTGTTTCAGTGCAATGTTCGACGACATTCATTGCTTGTACTGAATTCTTTGTTCCTTTAATTAAATCCTTTTCAGAAATCGATCGTTCTCACTGTGTGCTCCATACACTCACCGTGTCGTTTCATCCACGTTACACGTTCCTTCTCGTTTACGTTACACGTTCGAACTCTAACAGCTTGAAAAACACGGAGATATCGAAACGAGACGTCGAACCAATTGGAGGCCGATCTGCAACACTCTGCAATCCTCCCTGCATTTTTCTCACTTCCCGTTCTTCTCTTTCGTTTTCTTTCTCTTTTGCCCGACACCAACGTTGTCGTTCACTTTCGTACGACTGACTAAACGAATGGATGTTTCAGGAGGTCTACGATCGCAGAAACGTCCTTGGACCAGGGTAGAAATGATCGACCGCAGTTCCAAGTTACTGTTCCAGCTTCCAGTCCAACGATAGCCGTCTCGATGCCCTGGAAAATTGAGATAAATCGGGACGAGGATGACGAGAGGATGACGGCTGGACACAATGGAGATGAAGTAGACGACAATAATTCCTCTTTAGGGGAAAAAGTAGCAGAGGATTCAACCGTGGATTCAGTCAAAACTGTTTTGGTACCTGTTAGAGACCCAGTGACGAAAAAAGTTAGAAATGTGTTGGTGCCTGTTGAAGAGATGGACGATACTGGATTGAACGTCATCAAAAGTGTACTGATTCCTTTGCAGGAGCATGATGGATCGATTTCTTATGAAATTAAGAAAGTCGTAGTGCCTATCAAGCCGGAATTCAGCTTGCCACCGAGAAGGAAGGCCGAAGTTAAATCATTGACGAATAAAGTCAAAGGTACGCAGGTGAATTGTAAGAGAAAAGAGGAAAAAATAACCGAAGAGAAAGGAAAGGTAACGTTTGATACTCTTGAAGAAGCTGAGGAACAAGAAGAAAAAGTGAGGAAGCAGAAGGAAACGAAGGAAACAGAGAAAATACCAACGGATGCATCGAAGGGAGAAGTAGATCAGATACTGGACACCTTAAGAGACATTTGTCCATTCTGTCAGAAACGTTTCAAGGACGAAAACCAGATGCAGAAGCACATTGTGAAAACACACAGGAAGCCCTACAACTGCGACAAGTGTCACAAAGGATACTTCACCGACTTCGCTCTGGAGGAACATCAGAAAACGCACGAGGTGGTCTCGTTTTATCAGTGTACCGTTTGCCAGATGCAGTACAAGACGACGGCGGGATTGAAGTATCATCAGATCCGCAAACACAGCGACATAGACCCGATATTCACGTGCGATTACTGCGGCAAGCGGTTCAAATTGAAGTTGGACTTGGGTGTTCACATCGACAGATCCCACATGAACGTCACTCACATTTGCAGATTTTGCGGCATGGCCGTGAAGAACATCGTGTATCACGAGTTGAAACACGAGAAACACAAGAAGGCCAGTTCCCTCTATCGTTGCAGCGTCTGCCCTAGAAAATTCAAAGCGTGGAACAGATTGGAGAACCATTTGCTAATGAAACACAAATCGCCCGGTGACGGATCGCCCGATATGTTAAGGACGCTCTGCGAAAAGAAATTCCAATCGAGACGTGACTTTTACCGGCACGTGCTCAGTCAGTCGGTGGCGAAGCAGAATAAATGCGTCGTCTGCGACAAAACCTTCGCCTTTGAGTACAATCTTCGCAATCACGTGGCATCGCACTCGCACTCGTACTTGTGCTGCCAGTGCGGCAAGAATTTCACTACGAATTATTTGTTGAAGCTGCACCTTCGCAAACACACTGGCGAACGGCCGTATCAGTGTAAAACGTGCCTGAAGACGTTCACCAGATCAAACTCGCTTAGGATACACAGTTTCATTCACACCGGAGAGAGACCATACGTGTGCGATCTGTGCGGTCAAAGTTTCACTCAGAAAGGGAGCATGACGATACATCGTCGCAAGCATCCCGGAGGTCACCCGCCGCCTCCTCCTCCTTTAATACTCAGTAGACTCGAAAATAACGAGCATTAATTCTTGTCGAAGTTGTAAATCTAAGTAAGACGTTCGTAGGTATTCGACAGAAAGTTGAAGGAATTTTGGGATACAAGTACTTTTCGATGCAAGGTGGGATTATGAAAATATATGTATATTTCTTTTTCTATATCCTGTATTACATAATATATACGTGACTCTTGTGGGAAAGAATTCATTTGAATTCTGGCGAAACAATTCCATTAGAAATAGAATTTAAACAAGCATCACTGTGTTTACACTTTGTTCGCATCTTATTCTTTCGTTTGTCACTTAGGAAACCGTGTTTATTGATTTTGTTTATAAACGATGACTGTTTTGCAACGAAATAAAAAATCTTCGTTTCTGGAGGAAAATTGTATCATTGTATATCGAGATAATATATTTTTGAACCTTTTTTTTTTTTTTGTTTTGTCATCAATCTCATCGTTACCAGTGACAATACTCAAATTTCTTGGTTGAGATGTAATGTACGTAGATCATTGTACCAAGTATAAATAGTCACGGTGAAATAAAACTGACTAATAATTAAAATTGCTGCAAAGTCAAGCTTAATCGTTCGTGTACATTGTAAGAGCGAGTGTGAACTCGATTTAACTCGGATGTTCGGCAGAAATTAAAAAAAATTTCGATCAATTTGAAGTATGACTAACAAAAAATTCATATTCGATGCATTTATTACATGTACTAGACTGATTTTTTTTCCTTCGATTAAATTTAATTTTACAACAACCGTTGCATAATTCCTGCCTGTTCATTTATTTTCTCTGACCTGACGACGTTTATAAGATCAACAGGAAGAATAAACAAGATCGTTGGTTGTTACGGACTTGAAACTGTGTTTTGTATCCAGATCCATCCAATTTCCGACTGTTTTTTTATTTTTTTTTTTTTTTTTT